AAACACAACAGCAACGGTTTTGAAGCGTTGTTTTAAGCATGCTATGGGAAAATAGCGAATAGCCATATAGGCTACATAAATTGTTCGCGATGGTTGTTTCTTGCTCGTTGGAACATGCTGGTTTTAATGACAATGGTCTTGAGCTTTGATTTTGCCTATTTTTGAAAGCCCTAAATTAAGAAAACTGTAACCCTAATATTCGAAAATGGTAGAATCTCGTATGATCAACAAAAGTGAAATTAAACACCATGGTTAGTTCAGAAACATCATTGTGATCATGAATACATAAATAAAAATGAAAGAAAATGCTTGAATTATGCTATGCGATTTGAAATTTTTTGCTTCACAGTTGGACTTGTAGCTACCGTTTCAGGGTGTTTTGGTTGATGTTAGTGATTGAGATGCGTTCAGAATTGCCTCAGGATGCTAATAGAAAAAGAATTAAGGCTTGAAAGATCCTCTAGCACTGATTTCAGATTTGTCTTTTAAGGAGAAATTTTCAATATTCAAAAGCTTGTTTGGGCGCAGCTTGTGATGTGTTAGGCCTAGGGTTTGACTTAGTGATCATCATGGAATAGAATTGGCTTGCTATTTGACCTTAATCCATGCTTAGGAGGGAATTAGTCTTAGGGTTTTCACTCTTAACCATTTTTCCTCCTTTTTAGCCAAAACCTAGACCTAGTGTGCAAATGAACCCTAGCCTGATTTCTTGAGTTGGTTCATGATACATAGAAATTGTCCAAGTTCACATGACACTATTCCATTGGTTTTTAAATTTTATTTGAATTTTCAAAGAATTAAAATGAATTAAATCATCAAAAATTAAATAAAAAAATCAATATTTGGTCTTGAAACTAATCATGGGACACGTATGTGGCATGACAAGGATGAACCAAGTGGAAAAAATGGGGCCCTTTTGTCAAAAATTGGATTTTCAAGGATAGTTGACTTTTGCCATTTCACAAAAATTTCCCAACTTCTACAAGGCATAACTTGCTCAATTTTTAAGCTTTTCACATGCTCTTGGACATTTTGGAAAGGTCTTTGAGTCCTTTAACCAATGCCTTTGGTCCCATGTCATTTTGATTTACCAATCTCAAGTTATGGCTTTTGACTTAAAGTCCCTTTTTGTTGACTTTTGAAAATGACCTATAATGTTGAAATTGATAACTTTTTGTGAGAGCATTTCTTGGACTTGAAGTATGAAGATTAGTTGTAGGAAATGTCTTTCTCTTCAAAATGAGCTTTGGATGGAATTTTTCTGATAATCCATGTGAAAGTTATGCCCTGGTCAATTTCAGTTGACTTTTTCAGCTGTCCAAATATAGCAACTTTTGCATCTTTGATGATCTCTGAGCCAAATTTTGAGAATCATGATCAAGCATTGATCAAATGATGTTTGTGGCTTCAAAATGATATATTGACCAAAAATTTGAACTTTTGACTGCCAAATGACCATTTTGCCCCTACAGTTGACTGTAGTGCAATTTAGGGTTTTGACTGTGCAATTTTGAGCTGAATGCCTTGAAACTTGACATGAGGATGTTTGACCATGTTTGTAAGCATATGAGACTTGATTGAGCCTTTGAACACTTCCTTTTCTTGATCAGACTCAAAACCCTAATTTTGACTGTATGTGAGACTGTTGCACTGCACAACCCTTGGGGAATTTTGTGACTTGGCTTGGCAATTTCTTGAAGAATATGGGAGGGCAAATTTTGGGGTATAACACTGCTATTTATAGTAATGGGGAAAAATCCCCAATAACGAGGACATTAAATGCCATTTAATGCTGCAGGAGTTAGTGGGACGCGTGGCATCCCCCTGTTGATTTAGTCGTTTCTGCAGAAATAGAGGGACGCAGCGTGCGTCCTCGTTTTTGGGAATTGTCATAATGACAAATTCTGAAATGACGTTTGGTACTGCACGCCGTGCTGAAGGTGACGTCCTAGGTACGGAATAATGATGGTTTTCTTGGGATTGCCAATAGTTGGTAGAAAACAACAAAAAGTGCACAAGTTAATTTGTGACTAAGCATAAAAAGACAAGTGTCGAATGGCGTTTTCAAAGAATGCCTTTTTCTGTCAGAGTCGAAATAAGGCATTCTTGGGGGGCAATTTGTTGGCTCCTAAATTCGACACCTTTGTTTTGTTGATGTCAGCCATTAAAGCTGAAGGATGTCTTCGACTGGCTAAGTCTGTCGAAATGCCCGTCGAAAGATGGCAAAGCACTTAGAAGATTTCTTCCAAGGAAGAAGGCTGATTGCCTTCGACGTCGAAGGAGTTTCTCGTCGAAGATATCTCTTGACGAAAGTGTTCGATGGTTCAGAGTGGAGCAATTTGAAATTCAAACGTTTGGAGGGAAAACGGTTTCCAGCAGTTACTACGTGCAAACGTGCAAGGATCTGGAGCGTCGAACGTGGAGAACGTGCCAAGTGGATTGATCTCGAAGCAGTGTAACTGCCCGACGGTTACTTGGGATGTTTTAGTATAAATAGTAGTAGATATGTAGTTTCTCGCGTGTGTTCACAATTCTATACAAAGTCACTCATATAGATTCAAGTACCCAGCGTGTGAGAAAGAATTGTTGAGAAATGTATGTGTGAAACACCAATTTTATCAATTAAAGTCATTTACTTTTCCAGAAATTTACTTGCTTTCTCCTTTACATTCTTGTCGAACCTTTTACTTTAAAGCCTTGTTTATTTTACCAAGTCTTTCCTTTATGCAATTCATTTAAAGCCAATTTATTTAAAGCCTTATCCAATTCAATCAAACTTCAAAATCAACCTATGTCCTAGGATCAATCTGATCGATCCTGCGAGTAACCAAATAAGTAACCATTTGGAGGATCAGCGGTTGTTTACCAAAACCCAAGGTAAACAAGAACACAATATTTTCATCTTCATAAAACAATAGGAGCTATTTCACAAAATCATGGATGTTGCTTTCTTTGATCCACAAATTTCTTTGACCCACATGATTTCTTTGACCCACATTCTTTCTTTGATCCACAAAGTGTGACTTTATCCGCCTTTGGTACTAACAATACATTCGTGAGATGTACTTGCTTCAGAAGACTTCTTACCATTCTTCTTGTTAAACCAACATTCTTTCTTCAAGTGCCATCTCCTGCCACAATTGTAGCATTTGAATTTTATTCTTCTTTGAGATTTTGATCTACCATGATTTTGACTTTCACTGGGGCCACGTTTCAGTGATCTACCTCCCGTAATTGTCAAAGCTTCTATTCATTTCGAGTTTTCTTGCCGATCTTTCTTATTTTTACACCTAGATTCTTCTTCAAGGTCAGCTCCGACATCATCATTAAAGGATAAACGGTCAATAATATTATTTTTTGTAATATTGATGACGAGTTGATCATACGAATCTGGTAAACTCTGAAGACGAAATTTCGCTCGTTCATTTTCCATTATTGTGAAATCTGATGCAGATAGTTGAGCAAGTAATATGTTCAAATTGTTGATGCGATCTGGAACCGAAATGGATTCACTCATTCGAAGAGTGTAGAGTCTCCTTTTTAAGAAAATTCTACTGTGAAGTGACTTGACCTTGTACAGTTGGATGAGAGTATCCCAGATCTCCTTTGCAATTTTCTTTTCTGCAATACTGGACAAAACTGAATTTGTCATTGCTAGGTGCAAATTGACAACAATATTGTCATCCATCTCTTTTCACTTTTCATCGGTTATATCTGCAAGTCTACCTTCAATTGCTGGTAAGAAGTTATCCTTCCTCAAGATCACCTTCATCTTCAATTTTCACAAGAAATTACTCCCATGAAATTTCTCAATCTCAAATTTTGTTGTCATTAAATTTTTTCCACTTAATCGATTAACACAAATTTCACTATGAATAACACATTATACGTGAGCAATATTGTATATGTTTATTGCACACTAGAATAAATCTAGTACACGTTAACAATCACTGCAAAAGTAAACAACCACACATGTGAATAGTAACCATATATCATAGCAGAAATAAGGATCGATACCAACAGCTCTGATACCACTGTTTGGTACTAGAGTAACAAGATAAATATCACAAAGCTTAAAATAAAATATCAATGAGCAGAAATTGACACACAATATTTACGTGAAAAACTCTAAACAAATAATGGAAAAACCACATACACTGGTAGAAAAGATTTTCAGTAAATGGAATAAATTACAACACTTCTTTCTAAATACAAGGAGAGAACAAATTACACTCTCTTGAAATAGGAGAACACTCACTAAAAGAACCTTATAGGAGAACACAATATTTTCTTTTCTCTCTTACTTTTTTCTCTTAGTTATCTTGCAATACTATTTTATGATGTGTTATGAATGAAAAATAAACATCTATTTATAGGTGATCATCTTCACAAAACCATAGGAATTGTTTCACAAAACCAGATGGGTGTTACTTTCTTTAGTCCACAAATTTCTTTGACTCACATAATTCATTTGACCCATAAAGTCTGAGTTTATTTAGCCAGTCTTTGACATAAATGTCATGAATTGAATCAAATAAGACATGTTAAAAAGTCTCACATCAAATAAAATATGATTTAATAATATATATAAATAGAGACCATCTACACCTTATAAATCGATTTTGTAAGTTTGAATTAGACTTCTCCATATTGGTTCAAATTCTACACCATAATTTTGCACTTAATCAACAAATAATATAAAAGTCATAAATACAAGATGTCATCTAAAATATCCCAATATAAAAACAAAGACTGAGGTGCCAACAATGAACCACCACAACTAATCTCACCAATCCAATCATTTTGTCAAACATAAACTCTCTTTTTTTCCATTCAACTTACCTTCCAACACTTTCATATCCTACCAAGAGTCACATGTATTGTATTATAATAATAATATATATCCATTTTCAAAATACCTCATTCATATACAAATCATATTCCACCTTTTTCCTAATTCATCTCTTCACCACCATTAGTGAACCCATCAAATTGAAAAGATGAACCTTGTTGAACATATTACTTATGACACAATCATGGCAACTCTATCAATATCTCTCATAATTCTTGCTATCATCCTCTTTTTCCTTTGCAAAAAGAAACCAGTTGAATCGGAAGAAACACTTCCAACGAAACACAGTGCTCGTGCATACCCTTTAATAGAAATTGATGCTGCTACAAATGGCTTCAACCACAGGAGAATCATCGGAAAAGGTCGTTTAGGAACAGTTTATGTAGGGAAACTAGTATCAGAAGAACTCGTAGCTGTGAAACGCATTCACCCTGTTCTTGTATTAAGCAACGCAGGATTTGGTTTCTCATCAGTGATCAAATGGCTCTCTTTAGCTCATCACCCTAACGTTGTTCCTATAATAGGATTCTCAGAAGCACCAGGTACTCTATACAAACTTTAATTGTTATGCATACTCAATATTAATAATTTTATTATTAGCACGCCACAATCATTCATATGCATAGATATGATGTTTACGTATTAAATTTTTTTATTATTAGCACGTCACAATCATTGATATGCATGAATTTTTCATAACATCTATAATGATCTAATAGGTGAAAGAATTATAGTGATGGAGTTTGTTCAAACAGCGAATTTGGAGTTTTACTTGCATGAAAATAATGATGGAGTTTCTTCTTCACTATTGGATTGGAACAAGAGGTTTAAGATTGCAGCTGGAGTAGCGAAAGGACTAGAATATCTTCATGAAGTGGTAGCACCAAATATTGTACATGGTTGTGTTAAGTCTTGTAATATTCTTATTGATGTTAATTTTTGTGCTAGGGTTTCTGATTATGGACTTAACTTTTTAGGGTCAATTGAAAAAAGAGGGTTAATTGGTTACGTGGATGATGAATATTGGAATGGTGGGGTTTGTAAGGAAAGTGATGTTTATGGGTTAGGGGTGATTTTGTTGGAGCTTTTGAGTGGAAGAGGGTGTGAGAGTGGAGTATTGGTGAAATGGGCATTGCCTTTGATTAAGGATATGAGATTTAGTGAAGTTTTGGATCCTAGGTTGATGATTCCTAGTGATATGAAAGCTATTGTTAGATTAGCAAAAGTTGCTGTAGCATGTGTTGGTAATTCAAGGAAATGTAGGCCTTGTGTCAATCATGTGGCAACCATTTTGAATGATTTAGAGATGGAAGTTTGTTTCTTATCAAATTAGCAATGCTCTTCAATTTTGTAGAAAAACTTCTATATCTAGGTCAATCTCAATTTCCATTAGAGTTTCAAACACTTTTTCAATAGGAGGCTGGTTGGTTTACGTAATAGTAAAAGTAATATTTATTTTTTATTTTTACTTTTGATATATATTAGTTTAACTCAATTTCCGACCTTAAAAACATTATTTTCTCCCAAATCTTTCACTGTTTTCCAATAATGAGATAATTTTGGAGCATTGAATTAAAGAGACGATAAGTATATTTATATTATATAAAATTTTAGTAAATGTTTAAATGGTGAGGTTGGAGCGGTGCCGTTGTACTTGGACGGTGAATTTGATTTGTGGTTCCGTGTGGTGTTGGGATCTTTTTGATAATGAATTGAAAGTGACCTTAGATTTCATTTTCGAAAAACTCCAAAAGTTTATATTATGCTTATGTGTACTACTAGTATATGTTAATTAGTCTTCCTTGCTTTATTATTTAAATCCACCGTGTAATAATCTAGCGTAGCGTAGGTTTGGATTTGTTTCTATAAACCTTAAAATTAATTTTAAAGATATAAAATTCATTCCGAGTGATTTTAAAATATTTGATTTATCAAAATTAAAATTGATTTTATATTTAAATTTGATTCTGGTTGATTTATTCAAGATTAAATTATTTTTCTTTTTGTAAAAAAATAATTTTAAAAAAATATTTTGTCACAAAATTATTAGTTGAATAATACTATGAAAAACTAGTAGAGTAATTCAAAGTAATTATAATAATATATTCAATTCGATTAAAAAGATCTATTTTAACTCTCCGATAAACTATATTTGTAACTTGTGAAATTGGTAGAATAAATAAAACTACTTCAAAAGAATTATTTAGAGTTCAATCACACCAATAAATTTAAAGTGTAGGACAAAAAACAATGACAACTAAACAAATAACCTCAATCAATTTTTTTATAAGCAACTCTTGCATTAAGATAAGAATTCTAAGGATACTCCAACCCTATTACAAGAAAATCAAAACAAGAAGCCCAATTACATCAAATTTGTCTAAAGCATTGAATTGAAATTTTTAAACCATTAATAAAAGTTACACTTTATTCTATCTTTTGCACCTAATTCTAGCCACCACCTGGAGAATCACATTGTTTGAAACAAATTTGTTCAGGATCCTTACAACATACACCAACAAATAGTCAACCAAACCATCCTAGCCCTATTACTTGTTAACTTACTTTTCATTACTTCAACCACCTTCAATAACTGTCTGCTAGAGCTAACCTCAATTGGTAATTCCACATCCAACTACGTTTGTATCTTCTGCCAAATTGGCTTCACTGTTGGGCAATGTAATATTATGTGATCTAAGTCTTCTTCCTGTTCCTGGAAAAACATACATTTAATATCCTGCATTTCAAGAACAATACCCCTTTTAAGCAGTTGCTTCCTTGTGGGAAGTCCATCTGGTACTAGCCTCCAGCCAAACACCTTTAATTTTGATGGAGCCCTTGACTCCCATATGAATTTCAACACGTTTTAAGCTATCATCTATAGCATCACCTTGTTGGACATGAATAAATTTACCATAGCATGAACTTATTGTAAACACCTTTGTGGAATTAAAGGAATGTTTAGCAAAGTTAAATATGAAAAGATTACATGTAGTTAATGTAATACAATACGCTCCAGTAAAAATAGAGAGTAATGATAGGCAGACAACAGCTTATACTTGTCTGTAATGTAATTCATTCATTTTATATAGCATATGAATTACTATAAAATGAAGCATATTTGTCACAACAGATATTATCAATACATATTGTAACAAGTTATTAGTTTTTCAATAAGTTCATCTTTCTTCTTAGACATTTCATTTCTTCATATAAGTTTATTGTTCTAACTACATTATTTCGTGTTCAACTTTAGTGAGGGTTGTATTTCATATTGTTATTAGAAGTCAAATTTCTGTTGCGACTCTAAAAATTGGTATCAGAGCCAATTGTAAAATTGTAGAGTGGTAAAAATTTATTATTATTTTTGGTTATCGAAGATAATGGCTTCTACTAGTGGAACCGTCAAGGTTGGGAAATATGAAATAAAGAAGTTTAATGGGAAAAATGATTTTTCTTATTGGAGGATGCAAATGAAAAATTTACTTATTTCACAAAAGTTACACAAGGCGTTAGCAGAACAGAAACTTGAGAGTATGAAGGATGAGGATTGGGAAGAGTTAGTTCTTGAAGCACGGGCAGCCATAATCTTATGCCTTGAGAGGGATGTTGCGTTCTTGGTTAATGAAGAAGCAACGGCTGTTGGCGTGTGGTCAAAGTTAGAGAAAAATTTCATGACGAAAACTCTAACAAATCAAATCTACTTGAAATCCAAATTGTATACATGCAAGATGGAGGAAGGCACCCCAATCCGTGATTATGTCAACAAGTTTGATAGGATTATATCGGACTTGAAGGATATATGAGTGAATATTGATGATGAAGACCAAACACTTATGTTGCTTCTTTCATTGACCAAGAAGTATGAAAATCTAGTTCAAACATTGATGCTTGTGGGTGATACTCTAACCATGGATAAGACTAGAACATCATTATTAGCGGATGATCTTCGAAAGGTTGCTACTAGTGGGATGTCTAGTAATGGTGGAGAAAATAACGAATAGGCTCAAGGATTGCTTGTTACTACAGGGAGGACAAATGAAAGAGGACGAGGCAGGGGCGGCAAGTCTAGATCGAAATCTAGAGCTCATGCGGAAAGAACGTGCTTTAAATATGGTGAGTTTGGGCACTTTAAAGCAAATTGTCCAAATAAGAGGGTATTATTTAAAAATTATACCAACAACGACAACAAATCCAAAGGTAAACTACAAGATTTGCAAGAGGCGAGTTATGTCTCAAATGGTGAGAATTATTGTTTCTCTGTCTCAGAGCAAGACCATGATATCTTTGGGAGATGAATGCTTGATTCAGGAGCTTCACACCATATGTGCCCAAATAGGAAATGGTTTACTACCTACCAAAGCACAGATGGTGGTACAGATTTAATGGGGAATAACCATGCCTGCAAAATTATGGGGTATGGTACAACACGAATCAAGATGCATGATAGAGTGGTAAGAACTTTGATGAACGTGAGACATGTCCCTAATTTACGGAAAAACCTTATTTCTCTTGGTGTATTAGAGGAAAACGGTTGCAAAATAATCTTGGAAAATGGAGGCTTAAAGGTTGTTCGTAGTTTGTTGGTTGTGATGAAGGGGGTTCATCACAGAAATATGTATTCTCTTATGGGGGAAACTGTCACTGGTGATTTGGCAGTTGGAATCAATAGAAGTAAAGACCAAACTGAATGTACGAGGATGTGGCACATGCGCCTTGGGCATATGTCTGAAAAGGGTCTATCACTGCTTGGTGAGAAAAGTTTGCTGAAGAACATGGAAAAGCCATGCATGGAATTTTGTGAACATTGTGTGTATGGCAAAGCACATAGGTTGCGATTTTCTACAAGCAAGCATAAAAGTAGGGAAATATTAGACTACATGCACACTGACGTTTGGGGTCCGGCTCCAGTTACTTCTAAGGGTGGTTCAAGGTACTTTGTTACATATGTTGATGATCATTTGATGTATGCTTGGATTTACTTTATTAAGCATAAGAATGAGGTATTTGATATTTCAAGTGTTGGAAAGCAATGGTTGAGAACAGAACGGGTAGAAAGCTGAAAACTCTGTGATCGGATAATGGTACAGAGTATACAGATGGAGCTTTCAAGAGGTTTTGTGATCAGGAAGGTATTGTTAGACACTGGACGGTCAGAGGCACACCACAACAGAATGGAGTCGCGGAAAGGCTGAACCGTACACTTCTTGAGAAAGCGAGGTGTATGCGCTCTAATTCTGGGTTAGGTCGAGAATGGTGGGCAGAGTCGGTTGCTACAGCTTGCTATGTTGTAAACAGATCCCCACATTCGAGTTTAGGTGGAGACACGCCCTATAAGGTGTGGTCAGGTGAAGATACTGATTATGAAAAACTGAAAATCTTTGGATGCACGGCCTATTATCATGTCAAGAATAGTAAACTTGATAATAGAGCCAAGAAAGCTATCTTTCTAGGATATGCAACAGGGGTCAAAGGCTATCACCTTTGGAGTATAGAAGATTCTAAGTTTGTGATTAGCAAGGATGTTACATTTGACGAAAAATCTATGGTAGCTTTGTCAAAAGCTATAAATCCTAACGATGGTGATGTGACGATATCAAATAAGCAAGTTATTGAGATAGAATCTGAAGACCAACCAGAATCTAGTCGTGGTCAGGTGGAGAATCCTATCGCTAGTGAAGACGAAGAAGAGGATGAACTTGATCATGAGGAGGTTCAGCAGGAAAATACACATGTGTTACAACAACAACATTGGGAATCTTTGGATACCACTAGGCCAAAGAGAAATTATAAACTAGTTCAGGAGTTTGGGTCAGACAAACCTCTGAGGCATTATGGGCAGGTTAACTTGGTGGAATATACACTCTTAATTGAAGATGATGAGTCGGTCACCTTCAAGCAAGCTATCAAATAAAAAGATAGAGAGAGTTGGTTGGTTGCTATGGAGGAAGAGATGCAATCTCTTCACAAGAACAAGACATGGGAGGTGGTCCCATTGCCCGTGGGGAAGACTGCTATTGGTTGTAAATGGGTGTATAAAAGAAAAGAAGATCATACTAAGTCATGCGGTACAAGATATAAAGCTAGGCTAGTGGCCAAGGGGTTTGCACAAAAGGAAGGAGTTGATTACAATGAGATATTTTCTCCGGTGGTGAAACATACTTCTATCCGGGTGCTATTAAGTTTAGTAGCTCATGGTGATCTTGAGCTGGAACAACTAGACGTGAAGACAGCCTTCTTGCATGGAGACTTAGATGAAGAAATATATGTGTATCAACCTGAGGGTTACAAGGTTGAGGGTAAAGAGAGTCAGGTATGTCGCTTGAGAAAATC